GGGCTTAGACCCTTTTTCTTTGGGCGCCCCCAAACAGTCTGCGAAACGGAGGCTCCACCTCCAGGGAAGAAACCTGCGGCTCGGGCTCCGCGGGGAGCCGACGGCCACGTCCCGGTCCACGAGCAGCAGCGGCACCGCGGCGGCTCCTAGTCAGGTTCCGCGAAGCGCCGCGAAGTCGCCTGAGGGGCCCTGCCCCGCCGCGCCTCTCGGCCACTGGACGTCCGGCCGGGACAGCCCAGCTACAGATGGCGAGGCCCGCCCAGCCGGTGCGGGACGCCATCATGGTTCCTGGCGTCGCGCTCGGATTACCCTGCCTCCCGCTAATTGGAAGAGCCGGTGGAGCGCACCGGAAGGGGCGTGTCCCTGAAGCTAAAGGCCGAATGAGCAGAAAGGAAGCGGACCCTGTAGTGATTTCCTGGCGACGCCCTAGGAGTGCCCTTCTTCCCGCTGATTGGAAGAGCCTGTGGCAGCGCACTGAAGGGGCGTGGCTCCACAGGTAGAGCTAAAAAAACCACAGAGAGCGAGCCGGGGACGCCATGTTGGCTCCTGGCGACGCCCTGGGATTGCCCTTCCTCCCGCGGATTGGAAGAACTGGTTGAGCGCACCGGAAGGGGCCTGGTTCTGCAGCTAGAGGCGGGAGGAGCGGAGGGCAAACCTAGGACGCTATCGTCGCTCCTGGCAACCCCCTCAAACTGCCCTTCCTCCGCCTATTGGACGAGCGGGCGGGTCTTCCGTAAGGCAGGGCTCTAGGCGGGGTCATCTGCTTTCTGGCCTGGTAGCTGATGAGGGTTCTCTAGTACACACCTGCACGTCCAAGGACGCCTGGATGGATGCGGAGTTTGCTCGGAGAAGATTCCCTTGCCAGAGTAATGGAGCGTGGGAGAAACCTGGAGCAGCCTGATGCTGCTTGAGCAGGGGTCGTGGGCTGCTTCCTCCTGGTGCACTGCGGTCGGTGGGGACAAGAGGGACGCTGAGGACCCAGGGCGCCGAGAGGCCGCGGGACTGGAGTGTGGGGACGGGGGCCACTGGGAACGTGACTGCAGGCCTCGCGTGCCAGGCTGGAGTTCCTACCTCATCCTCGCGGTAAGGGACAAAGGAACACGCGCGGGACATGCGACAGAGGTGTCATCGGCAGTAATCAGACCATAAAAAAGTCTTTATAACTACGTGGTATCCCAAAGTGCATTTAGTGAGCCCCGCGGGGAGCCCGTTTTCAGAGGGCAGCTTATTGCTCCTCCCCAAATTCGGTTCTCTGAGGTAGAGCCAGAAAACTCAATAGGAAAAATATGCATAAATTGGGAGGAAAGGGGAACAGGAAGGATAGGACTTTGAGTCTCACAAGCTCGCCACACTCAAGAAGAAACACGACCAGCAACTCTAGCCTTCAATCAGAGTAACCTCTCACATCCATGCGACAGTTCTGCCTGTCTTAAATTTTATGTAAATAAAATCATATAACAGCTACTCTTCATCAGTTTACTTCACTCAGTGTTATGTGTAAGATTTGCCCATGTTCCATGAAGTAGTTGGCAACCTTCATACCACAAACTGCCACTGCTGACCCACTCACTTGTTTATGAGTCTTTGGGAAATTTCCAATTTGGGGCTGTTAACAAAGAAAGTACCAACACGGTGTTCTTGTTCATGTCTTTGTAAATTATAAAGCAAGATAGCAAGGCAGAAAGACTCATTCATTCCTACCCATTTATTAGGCCCCTTTACCAAGCAGTGCCAAAAGTTTTTATCAGGAGATGAAACAAAGGATGGACCAGGTCCTGCCCTCACAGAACTTACTATAATTGGCACAAAACAGCAATTCAAGTGCATAGAAAACAAAGTTAAATAATTGCAGTTGCTGAACATGGTAGCACATGCCTGTAATCCCAACATTCTGGGAGGCTGAGGCAGGACCACCTGTTCAAGACCAACCTAGGCAACTTAGCACTTAGTGAGACCCTGTCTCAAAAAAAAAAAAAAAAAATTAAAGGACTGGAGATGTAGTTCAGTGCAAAGTCCTTGGGTTCAACCCTTAGTACCAAAAAATAAATACATACATAACTGCAAGTGTGGTAACTCAAGGGAAAAACTGAGCTAGTCAAGGGATGGAGAGGACTGATTTTTTTTTTAATGTATGAAGGGAGCACAGAGTTACTCAGATTCAAGTGATACAAATGTGACCTGTGTGTGTGCTGGGCTCGAGGAGGATGGGCTGCTCTCCAAGAGACTGCCCTTGAGGGAATAAACACCGCCATCTGGACTATGTGGTACCAGGACTCCGCCCCGGCTTCTAGGCAGATCCTTCTGAAACACATACGCCTTATTGCCATGCGGCCACCTTTGTGTAACATGCTATATAAGCTGCCAGGGAAAAGCGGACTTTGGGAGACTCTTAGAGCTGCTTGCAGGGATTCTGCCCAGCGGGACCCCAACCAGCTGCCCTCTGGGGACTCCCCTAGTTGTCCGTGGTTGTTGAGGTGCTACCCTGACTGGTGATGTATTACTTCTATCTGTCATACTTTCTTTGTAATGTCTTATTGTTCATTGATTAAAACTTTGTAATAAGGCTATCTTTACTTTCGCTTTTGTGTGGCATGGTGTGACTTTTGTCCCCAGTCGAGCTTCAGTTTAACTAAGTGGTGCACCCGAGTAGTTTGGTATTAACCCTTGAATGACAATGTGACACCTCGGTCAGCAATGGTGAACCTTTTAGAGCTTTCAATGATAAACAACACCCTGCTGCGGATCCATGCTATAGGTTTGCTACCACTGAACCAGGTTGTCTCAGAAGAAATAATCTAGAAAACAGTACAAGAGACAAGTTGGCACCGCCATACAGCAACTATGAAAAGAGGCAGGGCAGATACTGTGTACATAGATCATATAGCGGGAGAAAGCTTGGCCCATGTGAGCAGTGTGGCTGAAACACAATTGAAGGGGAAGAAGAGAGGCCCTAATGTGCATTTGGATATAGGAACATAATGCTATGTCACAATGCGAAGTCAGTGTAAGTTTAGATTTTATTCTAAAGTCTCTGCAAACCAATGTAAGTGCTTTGATCTGAAGTAATGTGATCTGATTTACTTCTTTAAAAGATCCTTCTCTAGCTGGGCACATCTAGTGGTGCACATCTGTAATCCCAGCACTCTAGAGGCTGAGGCAGGAGGGTCTCTGAGTCTCAGGCTAGTCTGGCTACATAGTGAGTTCAAGGCCAGTCTGGACTACATAGAACCTGTCCCAAAATAAATACATACATAAAAATAAAAAAGCTTTGTCATTGCTGAACAGAGAATAAAGATAGCTGGTCTCTTAGGCTGCTAGTACAGTCCCAGGGAGATGTGCTGCCAGAGAACTCCGTGGAAAGGCTTGAAACACATTTAGAATTGTCAGCTCAAAGATCACACCTTAATCAAATGGATATAGGTATGATGTAGGAGATGAAATAGGACCTCCACATGATAGAAGGGAAATAACAATTTTAACCTGTTAGCTGTCTGATATACTGAGTTCATATTCTCTAACACTGAGTGAATTTTAGGAACAATGGAGGTTAAAAGTATTTATTGATAGGCTAGTTCCTGAGAGGAAGGAGGGGTCCCAAATGGGTAGCCAAGGACCCTACTTTACAGGGAAGTTTTATAGAGCAAAACCACATGGGTACAATGTGGTTGAAAGCTATGATCAACCAGTATGTTTACAAGTATGGTGGCTTAGGTAACAGTGATCCAGTGGGCAAAATCGTTGCATAACAAGTGTTCGTGGAAAGAACAGACTTTCTCTAGGAAATGATGGGTCTGGAGGTCCTGGTCACCCCCGGGCGGCTGATGTCTCTCTGGACTTCATTAGGCTGGTGTTGCCACTTATCTTGTCCCTTGGGAAAGTATGCAGGCCTGGTCATTTCATCTTTATCTTGAGGCCTGGTCTCCAATGGATGCATCTCTGGCCACCATTGTAAGGTGTTTTACCTTTGTCCTGATTCTTTCCAGGGCCTGCCCTGACTGCCTATACTTCTTCCTAACTTAGCTGTCTGTAATAAAATGATGACAGGTTAGGGACAACTCTGGGATATGTGTTCTGATGTGCTACACGAAGGGCACAGCATTACTATCAAATGTACGATCTGACTCTAATCATAAGTCCAGCAGACTCCTACTGAGGCAATCCACGAAAGCAGGCCTGTTCTTAAAACATCAATGTGAGACAGAACGGCTTAGGAAGTGTTAGATTTAAAAGGGAAGAGACCTGAGTGTTCAATCAACGTTGTAATCCTCCATTAGATCATGGACCAGGAAAAACGTTCTTTTCCTGTTTGGTTCCAAAGGACCTAAGACATAGGTGTGATAGTGCATGCCTGTAGTGTTCCCAGCACTCGAGGTGCCTAGCAGGGAGGCTCACGAGTTGGAAGCCAGCCTGGGCTACATGGGGAGTTCAAGGCCAGCCTGAACTACACCGCAATATTAGACAATATTACCGGATCAATATTAATTCCCTGACTTTAATAACTGTACTTATGATGTACGAGAATGTCTGTTTTGAGACACATTTAAGAGTGTAGAGATAAAAGGACATCATGTCTGCAGTTTCATCTCAAATGGTCAGAATAAAGTGACAAAGTAAACACAAAATGTTAACGTGGGGAATCTAGAAAGGTATATGGGAGTTATTTGTACTGCTTTAGCAACAAATGGCTGAACTACTTAATGAAGTTATCGCGATCGCGTAGGGGAAGTGAGGAGCAAAAAAAAAAAAAGCCTAATACTGTACTAAGTAATGAGTCACAACATTGAGACAAAGTCCGGGGCTGTGTTGGAAGACAGAAGAATGTTTTAAAAGGCACCTTAGTGGGACGCGCAGTTCCAGTGGAAGGCAAAGAGCCTGCTCGTACTGTCCCTAGATTCTCACAGCTGCCCCTCCTCGAAACCCCGTCCCCCTCCCGGAGCCCAGCCCGCCGCACGTACAAGCGAAAAGTCGCCCCGCCAACCGACACCGCCATATTTTCCAGGGGGCCTGTGGGAGCCACGCACGCACGCCGTGCACGCCACGCACGCACGTCCAGCCAATCAGCGCCCAAGCCGGTACCAGCGAGGCGGGGGCGGAGCGACTGCTACACATGCGCGCGGCTGCGCAGACCTCTTTCCTTCCTTCTCGCCGCGCGCCGCCGACATGGTGAGTCTCACAGCGGCAGGCTCCATGCGCGGTGCTCGTGCAGCCCGGCCTCGCCTGCGGCGGGGAAGCTGAGGCGCAGAGTGGCGCCCACAGGGTCCCAGCGGGGCGTGGGGAGAGCCCAGGCGCGGGGCGGCCATGGCGGGCAGGCCGGCGCCTGGGACCCGCGTGCGCGCTGGGTGGCGGAGCTCGAACGGGCCGCTGGGCGGCGGGGACCGCAGGCTGTTGCTGCCTCCGCGGCCCCGAGCCCCGGCGCCTGGGCGTGGCCCCGCCGTCCTGCGTGATGAGCCCCGTCGCCGTGGACCTCGGGACCGTGCAGACGGGCACGCGTTGAGCGTAAATCTCCGTTCTTCCCCGCGCAGGTGTTCAGGCGCTTCGTGGAGGTCGGCCGGGTGGCCTACGTCTCCTTCGGACCTCACGCCGGAAAGCTGGTCGCGATTGTCGATGTCATCGACCAGAACAGGGTACGTGTGGGGTCCAGCGTCGCAGCTGCCTACCTGGCGTGGCGGTGGGTGGGACCCCTTGCGGTGGCATTGATAATCCTTCCAGGAATCGTCCCTACTTTTTTTTTTTGGTACGGGGGATCGAACTCGGGACCTTGCGCTTGCGAGGCAGGCGCCGGAACCACAGAGCCTTTCCAGGAATCTTGCAAGGTGGGGCAGCCCCGGGCGGTGGCCGTAGGGGACCACCGAGGAAGAGGGAGGTGGGAGTCTTAAATACCAACGGAGTTAGTTGTTGCTGATGGTTAGAGTATTGCGTCCGTCTTCGGCCATTTGCGGATTAAAATGCTGTTGGGTTTAAATGACTTATTATGTGTGAAACGAGTTTAGAGGAGATCCGGGCACGCAGAATGAGTCTGCTCGTGCCAGTATTCGAGTAGCAGTGTGGGTTTGCTGGTCCTGAAGGGACAAGCAGTGTGCAGAGTACTTGGTGTTTTCCTTGCTGTGAGGCTTTGTGCTGAACAGTCCTTGGGCTCTGTCCTAGGCGCTGGTGGATGGACCCTGCACTCGGGTGAGGCGCCAGGCCATGCCTTTCAAGTGCATGCAGCTCACCGACTTCATCCTCAAGTTCCCACACAGGTAACCGCATCGGCACCTTTCCTAGGTTTATCTGTACTAGTAAATTTTTTAATTTAAACTTTCTTTTTGCTGCTATATTTTTCATTTGAGAATATAGTAAGCAAAGTTTGGAGCAGTTACAGAAGAGGTATGTACATAGGCATACAGGGTATGGTGGTCATGCTTGTAATCCCAGGACAGAGTTCAAGGGCAGCCTGGGCTGCTAGGGAGACCCTTTCAAAAAAGAAAAATAAAGTATGTAGGTATCATCTGCTTCTGAAATGGCCTGTGGTCACTTTTCCACCATGGGCATTCTCTGCATTTAGCTCTATTTAAACTTGGAGCTGGTGCTGTAGCTCAGTGGCGCTGTGCCTGCCTGGCAAACACAAGGTCATGAGTTCAATCCCTGGTACCGGAAAAGAAAAATATTTAAACTTGGAGTTCATTTTCCTTGTGCTTCCCTTTTTTGATGGGGAGGTGTTTCTGTTTTGTTTTTTGAGACAGGGTCAGGCTGGTCTTGACCTCACTGTGTAGCCCAGGGAGACAATCTCCTTGTCTCAGCCTCCCCACTTCCCATGCCTGGGATTACAGGCGTGGGCCACCACACTCAGCTTTTTTGATGTTTGCACACGATGAAATTTTTAAGGAATTTGGGCTCATTATGGAGCAGTCACATTCAATTTTAAAGCAAAAATGCCAGTCCTTTTCCCTTCTGATACTTTGTATCATTAAATAAACTTAGAGCATCACGTCAGTAATAAAATACTCCACCTAAGAGCTTCTGTTCCCAGTTTACATAGAGGGAGTTGAGGCAAAGAGGAGCAGTTCTTTTTTGATATGAAAATAAAATTGTGTGATGTGTTACTGTAGTAATGTTGACCTACAACAATAGTTCATTGTAGTGGAACACAGGACATGGCCATCACAAGTAAAGTAGGTCTGGGCTGGGGATTTAGCTCAGTGGTCCCGAGTTCGATCTCTGGGACCAAAAAACAAAAACAAAGTGGGTCTAAGTTGTATAATTTTGGTTGGCCTGTGTAGTGTCCAAAAGGTGACTATTTTATATTGAGATCATTTCTCCATCTAAAACTGTTCCCTCAAGAAAATAACCTAGTGGGATAGAAACCACAGTGCTGAGCACCTCAGTGACTGGCACAGATACTGGGGTATATTTAAGTGCTGGCAGTGGAAAATGCCCCCTGGCCTGCAGTATGTCCATGCTGCTGCTGCTCCTCTTCTGAGTACACGTTGTTTGAAGGACAGTTAGGGCTGAATCTTGATGTCCATATCAGAGAGGAGTTTTTCTGGGCACTCTTGGGTAATTGCTTTTGATCCTGGAGCAATACACAGTGGGTTTTATTTCTAGGGTGCTTGACCACAAGTTAACCTAGGGATTGGTTTTATCTTGCTCATTATTAAAAGGAAATTGTTTACCACTCATTCAGTACCCTGAATGGTATTCATGTAGTCAAGAGGTTTGATTTTAACCCTTCAGTGCCTAGTGATCCATTTTTGGAATCCTCATAATGAGGAAACAATGAAATTCTTGTTCCTCAAATTTTTCTAGGTGACATGAATTTTATGCAAAAATTCTATTCAGTCTTTGGCATAAATGGGTTAAATCTGTAACATGGATGGGTGGGGCTGTGGACTGAATTCCAGTTTTGATTAAATTTGTCCTTGTAGTTGTATTGGCTTTGTGAGGATCGTGCAGTAGATGAAAGACATATGTGCCAGGTAGTCTGTGTGCTCTGAGGACAGATAAAACTAGTGTGTAGCAGGACAGATGGTTTCTGAAGGGCAAGATGTCCTTGATTGGGTGTCATTTCAGAGCTGCTTGCTTGATCTGTGATCTTGGATTTTTCCAGTGCCCGCCAGAAGTATGTCCGACAAGCCTGGCAGAAGGCTGACATCAATACAAAGTGGGCAGCCACGAGATGGGCCAAGAAGATTGAAGCCAGAGAAAGAGTAATGTCTCGGGGTCACTGATTCTTACTTATTCTGAGGGTGTTGAGAACAGTAATCGTGATTTCTTTTTCTTTTGACTAGAAAGCCAAGATGACAGACTTTGATCGTTTCAAAGTCATGAAGGCAAAGAAAATGGTAAGTTTTTAATCCATACTGCCTCACTTTGCTTCAGGATGAGAAGTTGTCCTCGTTTTTGCAGTGACCTTAAGGAATTACTACCTTTATTCAGACTTAGTTGTAAGGAATGGGTAACTTAGACACCTTTCAGAAAACTAGCAGAGATCAGTGCTGTGTGTGTGTAGCAAATGGTTTCTCCTGTTGACGTTTTTCAGAGAAACAGGATAATCAAGAATGAAGTTAAGAAGCTGCAGAGGGCTGCTATCATAAAGGCTTCTCCCAAAAAGGCACCTGTTGCGAAGGCTGCAGTGGCAGCTGCCGCTGCCGCTGCAGCTAAAGCTAAAATTCCAGCAAAGAAAGTGACTCCTGCCGCCAAGAAGGCCTCGGGCCAGAAGGCGCCTGCCCAGAAAGCTGCCAGTGAAAAGGCCGTGCCTCCGCCAAAGGGGCAGAAGGGTCAGAAGGCTCCAGCCCAGAAGGCGCCAGCTCCAAAGGCATCAGGCAAGAAAGCATGAGGCTCTTAGAAAGGAATAAAGGTTCTTTCTGACATGTTGGCAAGTCTCTTAAGTCTGGATTCAAAGCTTGTTGCGATGGGATGGTGGGGCCAGCTGATAGGATTGTGGACTCCTCAGAGAACCTCCCTCAAAGGCACCTAGGGCAAGCAGTGGAGGATCACCACCGGCCGGCTGCTTGGTGCTCCCAGAAAGCGGGGCCACAGCAGTGATGTCCTTTCCCGCACAAACACATATGGGCTAGGTTTTCCATCCATAGTAAACTTCCAGCCTCTTTACTTTTTCCATGTACAGTAAGTCCTTGGCTGACAAGTTGCTTGTAAGTCAGGTTCTTTTGTCAGCCGGCAAAGTGAGTCTCATACAGCACCCCTGTGAAAGTTTGCCGCTCGGGTGTTTTCAAAAGTCGTAGTCCAGGCTGGCCTTGAATTTGGAAATCCCCCTGCCTCGGCTTCCAGAATGCAGCAATTAGGAGATTTGGGTACTTTTTAAGTTTCTTGGTACATTGTAGGTATACAGTGTGACGTTCGTCATTGGGGACTTGCACCTGTACATGACGTGTCTTGGTTATTGTTTCACCTCCTGCCCTCCGCCCCTCCCTGTTTTGTTATGGGTTTTTTTTGGTTCTGGGGATGGAACTCAGGACCTTGCACTTGCAAAGGCAGGCACAGTGCCACTGAGCTACATCCCTGCCCCTCCCTGTTTACAAAGACTTTTGTTTCCATGTTTTTCCTTTTCTCATATCTTTTCCTTTCCCCTGCCCCTCCCACTTCATCTTCCCCTTCCTGTTTGGACCTTTTCTCTATTTCACATGACCTATTACACATTTTAGTCCTCATTTAGACGTAAGTTTTTCACACCAGAGGAACTATTTGGTATTTACACATGTGTGTCCTATTTATTTCATTTATGAGCATGGCCTCAATGTGCATCCATTTAGCTATAAATGTCTAGTTTCTCATTCTTCATGGCTGAGTAGTACTCCATTTTATTAAAAATATCTTTATCCAGTTTCCAGTTGATTGACACTTGGGCTCTTTCCAAGCTTTAGCTGTTACAAATTGTGTCGCTATAAACATGGGTGGACATATATCACTGTGGTATGATTCTTTTGATTCTTGGGGAGAGATACCCAGCAGGGGAATAGCTGGGTCAAATGGGACCTCTAGTCCTAGTTGTTTGAGGTATCTCCATATTGATTTCCACAGTGGCTGCACCAGTTTACACTCCCACCAGCAGTGGAGAAGGGTTCCTTTCTCTGCCCAACCCTGCTACCATTTGTTACTGGTTCATTTGACAGCAGCCACTCTGGAGTGAGGTGGAATCTCAGCGTTTACATTTGCGTCTCTCGTATGACCAGTGATGTTGAACATTTTTTCATGTTTATTTGCTGTTTACTTTGAGAAGTGTCTTCAGATGCCCATTTTTGGATTGGATCTTTAAATTTGGGAGGTCTGATTGATTTTGTTAATTAGTAGTTTCACTGCCTGCCTGGAAAGTGCAAGGTCCCAAGTTCGATCCCCGGTACCAAAAAAAGTATGGGATGTCTTAGAAATCTAGGAATATGTTTAAAATAAAACTTGTTTCCTGAGCAAAAGCTGGTTTCCAGTCATATACCCTGTAATCATCCCAGCACTCTGAAGGGGCTGAAGCAGGACTGGCAGGTTTGAGCCCACTCTGCCTGTGCAATTCAGCGATTTAGCAAGACCCTGTCTCAAAAGTGAGTTGAGGATGGGGCTCCATACAAAGTCCTGGAGTCAGATTCCAGGTGCTGCCAAAGAGGAAGAAAACTGGCTTCCGAGCATCATTGGGATAAAGGAGTGAGGTGTTCATCTGCAGGCAGTCTCCGCCTCTGCCTCCAAGCCAGCTGGGGCTTGCCCTTTCCTCACCCTGTGCTGCGCTCTGACTCCATGACAATCGCCTGGCGAGGGACTTGGGACAATAGAGGCTCAGACTTGGTCATGTTGCAAGGTAGAATGGACGGGTGGAAAGGAGGAGAGTGGGGAAGGGGCAGGAGCCTGTGGGAAGGATCTCGGTGATTTCTGTCAGAAGTGGGGAAGAGGGCAAGAACCGGGACAGTATTTTTCTTGTAAAGAGAGATGGGTCTGTTTGGTTCTGGAAAAGGAGCTAATTGAAGGAAGCTTGGGAATCATAATAGGATGGCCACTCAATGGCACCTGCCTGTAAGCCCAGCACTCAGTTTGGAGGCTGAGGCAGGAGGATCGTGTGTTTGATGTCAACCTGGGCTACCCAGGAAGACCCTCAAAATATGTGGGTCCAAAAACAAAGATGTAGGTCCATAAAAAATAAAAACATTTTTAAAATGTGGGTCCAGAGCTTCAGAGGAAAGTGGATGTAGCTCAGTGGTAGAGCCTTCGCCTAGCACCAGGGAAGCCCTGGCCCCGTCCCATCAGACAGGAAGAAAAAGAAGGTGGGTTTGGAGAAGTGCACGCAGCCTGCTCCCTGTGGCGTCCACAGTCCCTGGAGCTGGCACAGCCACCCCGACAGGCAAGGTGACGCAGACTTGCAGGGAACAGTGCTCTGTCCTTGAGGTGTGCAGGGTGTGGACTTGTGCACTGCAGGACAGGATCCAGGTGGGGGCCAAGCAGGACGTCAAGTGAGCACGCATGTGAGCAGGGTGGGCCCCAGTGTGGGCTGAAGGGCTCGTGAGAAATGCAGGAAGCTCAGGCAGCAGCATCTAGGTCGGCCTGGACGGTGGAGGAGACTGAGAAATGATCAAATTATGCAGACAAAAAAGTCCAGGGGATTGAACCCAGGGCCTTCTACATCTCTGGCCCTTTTTCCTTTTGCCCAGGCTAGGCTCAAATTTGTGATCCTGCCTCAGCCTGGGGTTCCAGGTGTACGCCACCATACTCAGCTCTAAGTCTGGTTGTGGAGAACTGTGTGCTTGACAGTTCCTATCCTCGAGAGGGACAGTGGCGTAAAGAAAGGCCGCTGATTCAGGGACACGGCCGGGTAGTTTTCTCTTTTTTGTGGTACCAGGGGTTGAGCCAGGCCCGTAACCCTGAGCTACATCTTCAGCTCTTTTTACATTTTTTTGACACATTCTGGGGAACTTGCAAGAAGTTCAAGGCTGGGCTTGAACTTATGCTCTTCCTGCTTCAGCCTTCCAGACTGCTGGAATTCCACATCCAGTTTTAAATCCCATTGTTTAGCCCAAATTCATTCTTGGACTTCACGTAAACCTCGTCTAAAACGCACGGGTCCTGACACCTGCAGTGTGCTGTGGCCAGGGTCAAGTGAGGTGCGCCCTCATCCCGGACGGCTGTCGCCCCAAGCCCTTGACCCGGGCTGACTGGGAAGTGGGCGCGGCTTCGGGAGCCTCTGTCGGCAGCCTCGGTGCCCGTCTCCCGGGGTCAGAGCGGGGCGGCGGGGAGACTCCGGGTTACACCGGGTCTCACTTGCCAAGCCGCGGCTCTCTCCCCGCGCCCACCACCGAGACGCGGGCTTCCGGCAGCCTAGAGCGTCTGCGCCGCGCTTCCGGGTGACGGTGGTCGGGCTCCGCGGGTTCGGACTCCGCCGGTTTCGGGCTGTACTCGTTCCGGGCTCCGCGGGTCCGCAGCGGGTATCAGGCCCAGCCCCTCTCTGAACCGAGGCTACCTGGTGACCCGAGACCTGACCGGCGGCCTCTCGCGTCCATACTGCGGGTCGGCTTCGGGGTCCCCTGCGTCCTGGGTGGGGTCTCTGGGCCGCGTCCCCGAACCAAGGACCCCGTCCCCGCTGCACTCAGACCCCTGTCCCGTTGGGTCAGGGCCGAGGCCCTCCCCGGGCCCCGTGGAGTCGGGATCCCTGCACGGCCCCGTGCGGTCGGGGTCCTCTGGACCCTCCGTCCAGCGCAGGCGGCCCCCAAGGCCCCAGCCGCACAGGCGGTCACTGAGGACGCGGTCCTGAGCCCCACAGGGACCCCTCCACGAGTGTGGGCAGAGGCACACGGGGCCCCGGGTGCGCACGGCCGTGCTGCCCTCGGCTCTGAGAATGCTGCTTTCCAGGCCTGAGGACGGCGCGGAGGCCCGGACTTCAGCTGCTCTGCAGATGGCCTGGCCGCGGGTGAGCTGCGTCCTCCGGCCTGTGCCGCCCTCAGCCCTGGTGGCCAGGAGGGACCGAGCAGGCCCTGATTCCACCCCCAGGGCTTGCAGGTGTCCAGTGCGGGAGGAAACGACCACTTGGCGTGGAGAGCTGCGAGCTTGGGCCTGTGGGTTCACGTGGAAGGCTGAAGCCGGGCCGAGCAGTCCTTCCCGAGCATGGAAATGCAGCTCCCGGCACACAGGTCCTACCGCAGGGGAGCAGCGTGTTCCTTCGGGCTCCTTGCCCAGCGCTCGAGGAGCCCTGAGGTCCGGAGGAAGCTGCTGTGCTCCACTCGGGGACAGCGTAGGTTGGGGCGCAGGCCAGGTGTCCAGGCCGCGGGGAGACACTGGTGTGCATCCCCTCGGAGCTCTCGTTAGATTTATGTGTTAGGCTTTTCCAGTCCCGAGGGGTCAGTTGGTTGGGGTGGGGGTCAGTTAGGAGGATATTGCAGTTCAGTTGTTTTATTTATTTTTAAGATAGTCTTTGTTTTTAAGAGAAGTTTGGGGCTCACAGTAGACTTGGGCGGAAAGCCCTGAGCACCTTCTAGCCCCCCACACACCACCTGCCCGCCCTGCCCGTTCCGCCCAGCCCGGGGCCCAGGTTGCAGGAGATGTACCTGCCCAGGCAGCCCATCTTGTGTTGTGCCTCCTGTGGGCCGGGCAGCTGTGTGACCACACGTCCACCTCTGTGGCCGCACCCCTGTCCCAGCCCCTTAGTCCCCAGCCGACTCCATCCCACCGTCCACCTAAGCCCTGACAGCTGCGGGTAGATCTTTTTACACCATAATTTTGTCTTCTCCAGAGTCTCACACCATTGGATTCATATAAAGTGTAGCTTTTTCAGATTGTCATCTTTCACTTAGTAATGTGTACTGAGCAACCCCCCCCCCCCCGCCCACTTCATGGCAAGCTGATTCATTTTGTTTAGGCTCAGTAATATTCCACTGTCTGTCCCTCAGTTTAGGTGCAGATTTAACTACTTAAGGACATCTTGGTTGTTTCCAAGTTTTGGCTGTAACAAAGCTGCTATATGAACTGTGATAGAAAGAGGAAAGACACATTGCCATGAGACCCCTCAGAATAGTCCCCTTGCATGGAACACACGTATCCCATCGCTCTTGCTACTCACTGCCCCAGTTCTGCAAATCTCATGAGTGTCTTTAGCTGCACTCTCCTGGCTGCTTCCATGTCCTGAACTGATCCAAAGCATTTATTTTTCATGGTCCTTTTGACCTTGGGGAAGAGCCAGAGGTTGAATGGTGCCAGGTCCTGAGAATAAGGTGGACAAAGACACAGTGTCCTGTGTTTAGAGCCTGCCTTCCTATTGGATGGAAGTTGGCAGCATTTACTGTATTTTTGATCAGGAGTCACAAGTTGAAAAGACACTCAGGAAAGAGAACTCCAGAACTGCTGCAGAAGGTGGCAAGTCGGGTGTGGTAGCACAGGCCTGTAATCCCAGCACTCAGGAGGCTGAGACAGGAGGATCACTGTGAGTTCGAAATCAGTCTAAATTACATATCGAGACCCTGTCTCAAGAAAAAAAAGCAAAAAACTCCATGAAAATAGCAAGAGCAGTGGGATGTTCAATGCAAGGGGGAGGATTTTCAGGGGGATGCATGACAATGTGTTTTTTACTGTAATAAATTTTTACAACTTTAAACATTATTTTTGGTCAGCCCATGTATATCCACAGAGGAGTTTTGTGCAGACATGTTTCAGCCCTTTAGTAAAACACCAAGGGACATGGCTGCTGGGTCCCACAGCGAGCACACGTTCAGTTTTGAGAGAAACCGCCAGGCTGCCTTGCAGAGTGTGTCTGTTCATTTCACGTGCCCCCCGTGGACGAGGCTGCCCGAGTGCCAGGGAAGGAGTCGGACGCCAGGCTGTGGGTTGGGGTGGCAGTGTGGGGCCTGGACCAGCAGCGGGCCGGGGGTGAGGCCGGAGCCCCGCCTGGAGCACTGGGCCTCTTGTTGCCGGGCCTCTTGTTGCCGACTCCCCTGGGCTCAGGGCTGGACCCTGTGGCTGTCTTCTCTGCACCTGAGCAGGGCCCTGTGTTTCAGGAGCCGGTGACCTTTGAGGATGTGGTGGTGACCTTCAGCCCAGACCAGTGGGCCAGCCTGGAGCCGGCACAGAGGGCCTTGTACCGGAAGGTGATGCTGGAGAACTACGCCCATGTGGCCGCCCTGGGTGAGGCGCTGGGCGCTTGGGGCTGGAGGGCCCTAAAGGGACTCCTGCCATCCCTGAGCTGAGGGCACGCTGGGCAGGGAACCCCTGGGCTCCTGGGCTTTGGAGCGGGCTTTGTTCTCCAGGGAGGGTGGTGCCCCTTGTTCCTCCAGTTTTGGAAGTCCTGGAAGACGCAGAGGGTCTTCCAGGAGAGGGGTCCAGCTTTCAGAGCCCCCCACAGCCCTGCATTTGGGGACCTCAGCTCCCAACCTCCGCCCCGCTTCTGCCCCTAGTCCAGCCGCGCCGAAGGAAGGCGGGCGTCTCCCTCACCCCACCCGTTTTTTCCCACAGCAGTGTCCCCAGCCCGCAAACCCGCGCTCATTCTCTGTCTGGAGCAGGGTGAGGCTCCCTGGGGCACCGAAGACCCTGGAGGCTGCCGGCCTGGTGAGTGAGCCAGCCCCCAGTGCTCACTGGGGACCCCCGCTCAGTGCGCTCCTCTCTAGCCTGGGAACCCAGCTCAGTACTCTCTTCTCCAGGGCAGGAACGCAGCTCAGTACTCTCTTCTCCAGGGCAGGAATTCAGCTCAGTACCCTCTTCTCCAGGGCAGGAACGCAGCTCAGTACCCTCTTCTCCAGGGCAGGAACCCAGCTCAG